ACTCAGAAGAGGAGCTTAGAGCCAGAGGCAGACCCTTCTGCAAAGCTATTACAGTGGGCTATTCCCATTAATTATCTTTACTAACTGGTTTGTACACTAGTGACCGTTCCATGTCAGGTACTAAAACACTTGAGGAATGCTTTAAAGTACGAGGACAGACAAACAGGATCTGGATTCTCCGCAGGCAACAGAAAAGGGAGTTTTGGAGCAACTTCATAGTGGAAGGTAGAAGCTGCTGGCATTTTTCAGTCCAGACGACTAAACGGAAGAAGGGACAGAGCAGATCATGCAAGAACCTGACAGGCACGCAGTCAAGGCTGGGAGAACAAAGACTGATGGAGACCAGGAAAAGACTGACAAGGGAAGAGAAGTTCCTCAGTGTTTTTCACACTTGCTGTTTCTCCTCCCACCTGTTTTCCCCACAGCTCAAGCCTTCTCCTCTATTGGAAGAAGTTAGACCTGACACTACTAGGGCACTGGCATCTAAAATCATTCTGGCATGTGGATTTGGTCTCCCATTAGCCCACTGCTAACAGCGTCACAGAGGAATTTATGATGGGGCTGGCATAGTTATTATGTCATAGTGATGACAGAGTTATCATGAACGTGGCATGGGACAAAAGGAAAGGAGGTCATAGGATAGGCCTCCACCAATTCCTCCTTTGGGAGCACATTTGACAACAGTTTCATATTCCTGAGGGCTCTCACCCTGCGGAAGAGAAGATTTCTCCCCCCCTGCACTAATACCCTGCAACTTCAGATGTTGATTTAAGCTTCTCCTGACCATCAGCAAAGCAAAACCCAGGAGGCCTGTTCAGTTTACATGAAACGTAAGAAATCAAAGGGATGGTCCCTTTGTTACTGGTGTGGGAGAAGGGACGTTAGCAGATCTTTATTTTAAATAACCTGATGATCCTGAGCCTTCTCAGACACTGACAAGACCTCCTGACCCAGGCACAGATTCACTGTGCTTTCAACACCTGACAGATTGCAATAGGCACTTTCCTGCTTTATCTAACCTGGCCATAAAAATGCCTGGGAAATACCCAGCACTTTGCCTGGGATTAAGTATACAGCTCTGATTAAAATCAGCAGGAGTCCCTCTGTGTGTGATCTGCCATTTGCCGTCCTGAAGTTTTAAGCCCCTGCATGTTAACCTTTCTCTCTCTCTACCCCCCTATTTCCTCACACAGGTGCCTCCTCTCCCAATGCATACACTGACAGCATGTGTGAAAGCTTCTTTCTCCAGACTCAGATGCTTGCATTTCTTCCTATGAAGAGGAGGAAATGTATTTTCTTTACAAAGATGCTGGGCTGAAGCCAACTGACTGGACCAGCTTGCCTTTTAGCTAAGGGATGCTTTGCGTTTAACCAATCCCCATGTCTTTAAGTATATGTCCCCCACCCCCCCAAAAAAAATAGAGGGGAAACCACTGTCTCTCCACCCACCCTCAAATAAACCATGTCTAAAAAACTGCCAGTTTGTTGAGCAGACCCAGCTGGCAGATGCTCCAGATGGCATTTCTTCTGGTTTAGCTATTTATAGAGCACCAAACACCAAAGTGCCATCTTCTTGGCACCTTCCTTCCCTGGCACACGTTCCCTGGTGGAAATCTTACAGGAAGATGATCCATTTCAGGGATCTCCAGGAAGATGTGCAGTGCCAGCTGTTGGTCTGAGGAGCAGAAAAAGATGAAAAGGAACAGAGGGGAAATGATTATTCTGAGGAGCCAAATAAAGCAAGAGAGGGAATAAGAGAATAGGAGATGAAGGGGGTGGGAGGGAAATCAACAAGCAAAGGAAAGTGAAAAGAGCAGGGACATGGGCACAGGGACATGGCAGGGAGAGAAGAGAAATCTGAAGGAGAGAAATGAGAAGAGCAGATGTGACTAGACAGAGCAGTGAGATGGTGGAAAGCAAGCTCAAAAGCTTAAGAGGTAGAGAAGGTATGCTAAACTAAGCATTAACCAGGAGAAAGAGGCCATATGTGTTGGGCCAAGTGCCAGCTTTATGCATCCATTTTATTTGGCCCAAGTAGGATTTCTAGTGTCCAAGGACTGCTGTGCATTTTAGGGGAGGTTTTTGCTTGGGCTCTCTCACAGCTGTGCTGTAAAAGCTTCATTTCCTCCCAAATTAATTTAATCAGAATGCTGACTTGGGACTTAGGAAATAAGGGTCAGAATCTAACACCGTCTCCCACCCCTCAGAAACCTCATCTCATCCATCTGTCCACCTCCCCCACCCCCTCCGTTGAATACCCCCGGGCCCTCTGAGTGCTAGCAGAAAGTACACAAGCAAGTGAGCAAGTAATCTGAGATGCAAGATATGGTATATTGATGCCATCTATTAATATGTGCTACAGAGTCCTTGACCAATCCACAGAATTCAACTGGAGCTTTACCATTAGCATCAATGGGGGCAAAATCATGTGCTCTACTTATTGTGCATGCATTGAAACAGATTTAAAAAAATACCACACAATATATACCAAACCTTTAACATCAAGGGCCAGCTTTGCCACAGGCTTCCCTAACAGTGCCTGAAAAGTCTACAGGCAAAATAAGCAACAGGGACAGAGTTCTGTATGTTCTGACATGTCTTGTGGTTGCAATAAAAAGACATGAAAAACTGACCTTAAATGTTCAATGTTATGTGCTTGAAATGGCAATAGAGTCAATGCTCATTTGCAGCAACACCTTGTAAAAGCAACTACCTCTTCCCAGCAACACCTCTCTTGGGAACATTTTCTATAGCAGGTATTGTGATGACACTCCCTATAACAAAAACAGCCTCTTAAGAACCACATAGCACTAAACTATCAACATGTGGCTACCAACAAGTGTCAGTGGTAATTACACAGAGACAAGGATGGTGGAAATGAAACAGATGTTATTAATTCATTCAGCATCTTAAAGTCCTTAAGTGCTTTCATGAATCAGGGCCTAGACTGGCAGCCCTCCAAACTAAAGTATTTGCATATGGCTGGGGATATGCTGAGGGTTAATTGTACACAAGTAATTTTTGCATACTTTATATACCTACACTCATATCTAATGCCTCAATATTTACATACACAAAGAAAATCTATACCTTTATACACACACACATATGAAAGACCTTAATAATTCATAAATTTCCCTAATAGCTGTATTCAATATTTAGAGCAAGAAGTTTTGCTCTAAAAAACGAACTAGAGAACAGCATGGGTAGGAATATTTTTGGAGATATGTGCAATATCTATCCAATATATTCCAAGCCACTCATCCATAACTGGCTGAAAAGGCTGAATCATGGAGTCTCCACGTTCTGCTGTCATCACCCAACTCTCCTGGACCCAAGCAGATTTAAATAAAAAGAGCACATTAGATGTCTAACTCCTCAAGTTGCAAAGGAACAAAATATGTGAAATTGAGAGGTGGTGCCACCTCCCCTCTCCCAAAGGCTGGTCTGACTTACTTGCTGAGATGGTGGTTTCCGTGTGGACAGGAGGAGTGGAAGGAAGGAAAGGTGGGTATCCCACAAAGAAGGAGCGCAGGGAGCGCTCAGACAGTAGGGGCGAGCGCTGAGCGGGGATGTTCTCACAGCTTCCCACACTGTTGTGAATCTTTAGGTTCAGAGGCTTGTTCTTTTTCTTTGCTCTGAAAGAAAGAGAAAAGAAGAGAAAAATGAAGAAGATCAGGAAAGGAAACAGGATACATTTTCCCATGTATTAACAGGCCAGCAGGGAGGAATGTTAGAGCACTTGGCATCACTCTCAGGGATAAACTAACTGCCCACTAGAATAAAATACAAGCTTAGGAAGATTTTGCCCTTAGCCCTGCTAAGGAATGGGCCAAAACCAGAAAACACCAGAACACACCCAAACCTCAAGAACTTCTGAAATCTAAACCCAGAGCCAGCAGTTAGCCCCATATCTTTTAAAATGAACTGATCCAGAGCCCAGATCCAAACTAAGAGGGGATGGAAATCTGGAGGCACATCCAAGTTCTGAGGCAGAGGACAGTAGCAGAAATGTTTCTAACAAGGTTTGAGATCTTTGGGTGGAAGGTGACATGCAAGTGCAAATGAATGGGTGCCATTAGTTTGTTGCATACTCAGTAGGAAGCTAACAAAAAGCAGGGCTCTGGCTCCTACCCAAACCCTGTGCATTTGGTCCACAGACCCAAATGAACTGTTACGTGTTAACACTGTATAGTAGCACAAAACTTTAGCAACCTAAAAGAAAGGATACTACCAACCTCCTGCAGGAGTTACACCAAACACCACCTTGAACAGTCTCTACTCAGGATGATAAATAATTAGCATGTCACAGCTACACTGAAGCCTTACCAGCAGTCATATTCATTAAATCAATTGATCACTTGAGATTTGGAAGCAAACAAATTAGTTAGGAACCCACAGTGACCTGTAAGAAGTGTGGAAATATTTTAATCTCACAAGTTTTTTCCTCCTAGGCTGAGGCAATGTCTCCACCTGGCTGCCTCTGTTGCAAGACCTTTGGAGGGCACAGACCAGCCACTGTTACCCAGCCTCCACAATGTGTGCACACCCACATTTCTGGAAGCTTCACATAGCTCCATTCAGCTGATATGCTGTCGCAACATTAAGTGCACCCTGTGAAGGCACCAGCTGCTGAATGCTTTACAGGGTGAAGCAACCAAATACCACAGTAAGCACCTAAAATAGATAACATCTGTTATGACACAGAGCCAGATTCTGAACTGAAATAAGTTGGTATAGCTCTATGGAAGACACTGAAGTTATAGACATATTGGCTAGGGACAGAAGTTACACATAAACCAGCTTAAGTGATCAGAAACTGGTTTAAACCTGTAACAGAACATAAATTCCATGCACATAAACCAGTTTCAAAATGGCTGAAACTAGTTTAAGATAAACCTGGTTGAATGTAGTATCAGACTTAATTGATTTAGTTTATGAAACTTCTGTCCCAGACCCCTTCCTGGTTAAAGTTAAATCAGAGTCCCCCAGCATCCCAGCATGCTTTTCATCCCTGTGCTGGGCTATCTGCTCGCCCTCCCCCAAGTACAGAGCTGTCCTGCCCTACCCTGCTAAACTTAGTGCTGGCTGTGACTCTGGATTACAAATCCCAGAAACACCTGGAAGCACAAAGAAAAAGTGATGAGAAACCTTGTGGAGTCCTGCTGCTCTGATGCTGGACTGCAAATCCCAGGGGCCTCGGGGACAACAGGAAAAGTGAGTGAATATACCTCCTGGGCTCTGTTTATAGTTTTTAGTTTATAGTTTTTCAGAGAAAGAACTATTCTTGTTCAAACTTTTATAAATTCAGTGCTGCTACTCCTCCCGCCTAGGCAGAGCAGGCTGGGGCCTGGCCAGGGCCCTTCTGCTCCAGCAGGGAGTGGGGGAAGCCTTGGAGGG